ATACGTGTCTTCAAGGAAGTATGATATTTAATTGAAAAGAAATGTTAAAGATCTTAAGACTTTAATTAATATTAATGATAGAACTGAATTGGAATGGAATGAGAGTTTTAATTACATATATTTATAATCCTTTTTTAAAGAATATAGTATGTATTATAAGAATGTACCAAGCAGAATTCGATTGGAAGTTATGTATTATGTATTATATTGAATGTTACAACCTTAAGGTATATATTGAAGTTTAAATAAGAGTTGAATGGATAAAATTAAAAGATATAAAGGTGTCATACTCCAATTAGTAACTACAGGAGAAAATTTGTTTAATGAGAAAAGATAATATGAAATTGAAACAGGACAGACAAAAGTATAAATATAATGATTTGAATTGAGATGAGACAATCAAAATAAAATTGAAAAATTAAAAGAGGGGAAAAAACTATATAGTAAATGCAAAATAGTAATAAGATACGGAATAGAACACAAAAATGAGCATGAAATTGAGTTTGTGTCTGTATAAAGAAGTGTAACCCGGGACCACGCTATTTTCAAAAAAGATGTTTTACTTGTATTATGTTTTTTGTGTGTGAAAACCCAAATAAAACTTTAATTTAAAAAAAACTATATACAAATGAGAAGCCTCACATTTTAATTACATGCCTATTGTGACAGACCCCTTTTTTCCTCATCATCCTTCTTCCAATTTATAATACAGAGGAAGCAATCTTACAGGATTATAAACGTTGCTGTACAAATACTGCAAAAAAATAAATGAGCAGAATATAACAATCTAGAAGCCAGTTAAATCAGAATTATCTTGACATCCATCATACCCCTTCACCCCCAAAAATAGTGATATGACCCTTTGGTCGTAAAGAGTTACTGTATGCTGTTAGTCAAACTGAGAAGAGAGTGTATGAGCATGAGTCAAAAATCCTGGACAAGCATAACAAAAAGTAATGTAGAGCGGAAAAGGTTAAACAAGGAGGTTAAAAAAGATTGAAAGAGGGAAAGCAAGAACTGGAGTAGCATAAAGGAAAGGATCCTGATATTGGAGGGAGAAAGGACTGAGATGCAATGAAGTCAAGGAGGTAGCAGCTTTAGATAAAAGCTTTGCACAAGGACACAGAAAAATCTTTGAAGTCTCTTGCAGATAAGATTGAGTATTAAATTCATGACAAGGAAAAGAATACAACCAAATTTAATTTACACCAAGTGCAAATAAAAGTACATTTGTTTTAATTCATCCACCCACTCCCAAAGAGCACAATTCTAATGTTGCCCCAAACATCCCTTATATATTTATTCATAATTATATTAAGTAATCAAGGGGGCATCACCCATATTGAACTGCTCATTCACATGCATGCTTTATTTCCATGATATACTATTATTGCCTTCTGCAACCAATTTTCAGTTCATATTGTTGAAAGCAGTCCATAATTCAAACCCATAGTTGAAAACAATATTTCAAATGTATTGTCAACTTTCTTCCTCTCAGACCATTTCTTAATGATCTGCTACTGAACAGCAAAAATCTAGTCCAAAAACTCCTTACTTGGCAAAAAAAAACCCCACCCCACACCTCACAATTTTTGCTCCAAATTAAATTTTCCATACATCATTTCTGTCACCAGATTGGCCCATAGAAATTGACTTCTTCTTGTTGTAGTTTTGGTCAGTGAAGGATTTCATCTAACCATTTTAGTAAAACAGAGAAAGTACAGACTGAAAAATTCTGTCACCCATCAGAAACATTAAGTTGCTTGACTTCTGAACTGGAACTGGCTGGAAATGAAACTAACTTAAGAAGTTTTTGTCTGAAGTTCAGTCTATTTCTTACTTCGGCAATGATGCCAGCAGATATTCTGCCCGAATGATGGCTTACCACATTTTCTTGATTAGTGATTTTTCCTATCTGCCTGAGAAAGCAAGAATATGATTTCCACAGATAGAGTTTATGTGTGGTCCTGCTACATTGACTGTCCTTAACTAGACTGGGATAACTTATCATGTTAGTTTACCATGGCCAGCTTGTCGTGGAGCATCTTGCCATGGGCAACTCACCATGGAACAGTTCATTGAGGGAGAATGCCGGTGGTGAGGGAAAAGTCCTCCTCCCTCCCTCCTTTTTTGATCCGGCTTACCCCACCACCACCACCATCACCACCAATACCTCTTGAACACTGTGACAGAAATTCTTGTGCACCAAAAGGTGTGTGATTCTCTCCCAAGTGATCTTTTTTCTGGTCTGGTCAAGGGGAAGTCTTTCTTTCCCTCCCTGCTTTGTCCTTCCCAATTTTGGTCTGAGCTAAGAGGCAGAGGATCTTCACCTTACCTCCGATATTCTCCCATTACATTACATTAGACTTATATAACTAATAAAAGGGATTGTCTGATGGAGAGTTGTCCCACACTGAGGCAGCTGGGTGAGGCAGTGGCAGCAAACCAGCAGCAGCGAGTTGTCCTAGCAGCGAGTTGTCACACCTTTTGGCACATGCACCATAGGACTGATGAGAAATACAATAAATAATTTTTATCTTTCTATCAATTGGACTTGTCTAGGCAGTCTCCAAGAATTGGAGATGATTGAATGGATGGCAAAAAAAACATGTCATCTATGTTGCTTACATTCCACCATCTAGGCCAGAGGTCCCCAACCCCTAGGCCATGGCCCACTACCAGGACACAGCCCATTCAAAACTAGCCACAGAAGCAGTGAGCGCACATGGGCAGCTCCACTTGTACGAGTAGTGGGAGAATGTGTGTGTGCACTGCTTGCACAGAACCATCTCCCTTCCCCCACACTGATCCACAAAGCCGAAAAGTTGGGGACTGCTGATCTAGGTGATACAATACAATGCAAAATTTCATAATTCACAATTTTTTTTGATAGGCAACTATGGGGGATATAGGTGACAGTTTAGAAAGGAAATAACATTTTTTAGGACAGTTTGGCCTAGTAAAAGCACCAGGTTAAAAGCCAGGAAACTGTGAGTTCTAGCTCTACCTTAGGCAGGAAAACCAGTTTTGGGCCAGTCACACACTCTCAGCCTGACCTATTTCACAGTACTGTTGTCCGGAAAATAGGAGAAGGAATAAGTATTGTGTGTGCTTGTCACTTTGAGTTTTTTATTCATGTAATAAATTCAGGATACATACACATACATATAAAAGCTTATTACAGTCATTAATCAGCACAGTGTGACAATTCAAAGCATAAGCTCCATGACAAAATGGGGAAAATAGCCTAGTTGTTTTATTTGGCTAGTTTTTTGTTTTATTTTAAAAATGGTTTTGAAGTGTTTATTTCTGTATCTACTACTGCCATGAATATTTATTTTCTCTAATTTTTTTCACTGATCTTTTTCCTAAATTTTCCATTGCTTTTAAACTATTTCCCCCTTGGCTAAGAAAATAATTCTAATCAATCAAGAAATACATATTGAATCTTATGACACCTCTGAAGATAAATAATCTACACTGACCACAAGGGAATATCAACCAGTTACAGACATGAGGACAAATTATTCAGGATAATGCTTCTTGAACACATGGAAACTTCTAGCTTTTTCTTATAAATTTCTAAAAAATCATTGAGTAGTGGGAACTTTTTGGTAGTGATAAAAGTATTGTTAAAATGTGTATACCTCATTTATTGTGCCTAATAATGGTATACGGGTAGTCCTTTATGAATAACCACTTGTTCACCGACTGTTCAAAATTGCAATGTAACTGTATAGCAATAGCACGTAGACTTATATACACTTCACAGAGCTTTACAGCCCCCTCTAAGTGGTTTACAGATATTGTAACAATCTGAGTCCTCATTTTACCAACCTCAGAAGGATGGATGGCTGAGTCAACTTTGAGCCTTGTGAGATTCGAACTGCTAAAATGCAGGCAGTTGGCAATCAGCAGAAGTAGCCTGCATTACTGCATTCTAACCACTGCGCCACCAGGGCTCAGAATAAAGGATGCTCACAAATAGTTCTCAGCATTTTGGGGGTCACAGTATCCCCATAGTCACGTGATCACAATTTGGGAGTTTGGCAACCAGATTGCAATTATGATTGCACTGTCCTACAAGTTACATTATTACCATTTGCAACCTTCGCTTCCAGCTTCCAACAAGCAAAATTAATGGAGAAAATGACAGGAGGTTGTAAGTGATGTTGCTTAAAGATTTCTGGTCCCAATTATTGTCAGTAACTTTACAAAATGGATTACTTACAATAAATAAACTATAATCTATTTATCTATTTCTCCCCCTCTCTCCCTTCCCCCTCCCCCTCCGTCGTCCATCTATCTGCCTGCCTGCCTGCCCCCCCCTCTCTCTCACACACACACACACAGAGTAAAAAAATACTGCAATACCAGAGAATAGGTCTGACTTGAACTGTAGCTCTGGGTTCTGCTTCAGACACAATTCCAGTATTTCCAACAGGCAGAAGAACTTTATTTTTAGCCAACATTCATTTAAATATTTATTTTATACATGGATGCATTGAAATAGTTTCCCAATACAAGTCATCGTTACTAGGCCTGTGAAACAGCTTCACAAAGTCTGGTCTCTTTACTTGAACTATGAGACAAGGAACATGTTCCAAACAACAAATATATTTGATTCAAATAAATGAGATTTCACATTGCAGTGGAGAAAGCAAAGTCTAGAACAACAATTGTAGCAGAGCACTGACACGAGCGTATGATGCAGATACAGGCATATGATATTCAAAGATGCATATATGAACTTTCTATTTGAAAAAATCTGCATAAATGTCCATTTCTTTTTGAGAATATTGGTAACATACATTTCAAAGAGGTAAACACTTTATAACTTTAACTCTGGGTCTAAAAAAATATCCATATCATGCCACTCTCTGTTCAGTCTGAAAAGCAATGTGATGTATTATATTGTATAGTATAGTCATCCCTTAAAAAGGGGATACACAACATTCGAGGGATGCTCATTAATGTGACTACTCTAATTTTGTCCTTAGTTCGGCAATCAGCAAGCACTGGGAAGCCGAACTTGCTACGCTAAAGGGCAACAACGCCAAGCTGACAGCAGCTCTTCTTGAGTCCACTGCCAACGTGAAACAATGGAAACAGCAGCTTGCTGCGTATCAAGAGGAAGCGGAACGTCTACATAAACGAGTGAGTTGACACTACCTGAATAGTAAAACGGTGATACCTATGGCTTGAGGAAAGGTGTGGCTAAAATATTATTATAATAAGTTATCCGTTCATCTAACAACTAACAAAATCCATCCATATGAAATTTTATTTGCCCTTCTTGAAAGACTGTGGAAAGTTCAAGTTCATCCAGGTGTTCTGTTTCCATACTGATCCCCATTATTGAAATGAACGCTTGAGTAATGTAAGTATTATGTACTAATTATCCCAGCATTTTAATTGTTATTATCATGGGCAGTACACTAGGTACAGTAAATACATGCCTAACTGACAATTAATCATGTTGTGGGGCAACGTGATTAACCGATGACTGGATAAACAAGCCTCTGCTAAGCCTGGCAGCATAAAGCATATCTTCCAAATACTGTTTGGTTGCAGAGTCTAGCCTTGCCTGCTGATGATTGTCTGTGAATGAGTAATCAGTCGTACACTCATGAAATTGTGGCATTGGAAGATCCATACAGGTAATTTGTTCCAAGTTCCTGCAGTTGTTTGAAAAGCCAAATAAATGATCCTCAGGAGGTGGCTATGTTGCCTCTTCTTAAAAGTCTCCAAAGGTGGTAAAATCACAACCTCTGTAAGTAAACTGTTCCACTATTATATAGACCATACTGTCAGAGAAAGATTCCTTATAATTAAACAAAATCAAGATAGCTGGAGTTTGTGCCTATTGCATCTAGCCCTGGCTTCTGTAGTAAAGAAGAATCATCTCTTCCCATCTTACCCTTGCTTCTTTTTTATATTTCTTAAGATGGATATTATGTATTCCTTGAATCTTCTTTCTCCAGACTGAATCTTCCAAGTTTCTTCAACCTGTCTTCATAGGGCATGTCCACAATACCTGTATCACCTTTGCTGCCCTGGCTCTGTTTCAATTTGTCAACATGTTTCTGGAAATATGGTAACAAGAATTGTACACTGTACTCCACATATAGTCCCATCAGTGTTAAGGGGAATAAGGCTTTCTTGTAGCTTTGTTAAAGTGCTTCTTCTAATGCACTCCACAACTGCATTAATCCTTCTGCTAACAAATTACCAAAATCAACACTTCAGTTCAAACCAACTTAATCTGGTGTCAAAAATTGTCAAAAAGCTTAGTGTTCCTCAAACATAACAAACCCTTTCAAATCTTCCCCTAAGCCTTGAAAATTGACCATGTTTACCTGTATTTATTGTGCATCTACCTGCGGCTTTGGACAAGAACACCAGGTCCAGGAATTCAATTCCCAGTAGATGTTTGAATCCCATAGAATAACATCTGAATAACATTTAATTACCCATGTTAGATGAGTCCTAATAGGACAGAAGTTTTATGTGGTACCTCCTGATGGCCAATGAAACTAAAAAAGTTCAGTCAAAGCCACCAAACCTTTGCCGGATCCTGCTTGAATGAAATGCTGAGTTCTATGAAAAACAGGATATCTTGGATCAAGTCCTGAAGGTTCTTTTTTTTTTCAATGCCCATGCAGGCCTAGGCTAAATCAATAGATCACGTCAAGTGTTAATACCATTTTATATTGCCTTGATAAGGCCACCCTTGGAATGCTGTGGCCAGTTTTGGTCATCACAACACAAAAAAGATGTCAAGGCTCTAGAAATAGTGTAGAAAAGACTAAGAAAGATAATTAAGGGAATGGAGGCTAAACCATACAATGAACATTGGTAGGAACTGGGAATGTCTAGTCTAACACAGAGAAAGACTAGGGGTGGCCAGATAGCAGTCTTCCAAAATTTGAGGGACTGTCACAGAGATGAGGGGGTTAATCTATGTACCTGAGGGCAAAACAAGAAATAACTGATGGAAGCTGAACAAAGAGAGATCCAACCTAGAATTAAGAAGAAATTTCCTGTTGGTGAGAACAATTAATCAGTGGAACAATGCCTCCAGAAATTGTGGTTGCTCTATCACTGGAGGTTTTTAAGAAGAGATTGGACAACCATTTGTCTGGAATAGTACAGGTGGTCCTTGAATTATGACCACAATTGAGCCCAAACTTTCTAGCATTGAGGCATTAGTTAAGTTAATTTTACCCCATTTTATGACCTTGCTTGCCTCAGTTGTTAAGTGAATCACTGCAGTTGATAAGTTAGCAACCCAGTTGTTAAGTGAATCTGGCTTCCTCATTGACTTTGCTTGTCAGAAGGTCGCAAAAGGTGAACACGTGACCTTGGGACATAGCAATGGTCATAAATATCAACCGGTTGCCAAGCATCTGAAGTTTGATCCCAACATGGGGATGCTGCAAAGGTTGTAACTGTGAAAATGGTCATAAGCCACATTTTTTAATGCCGTTGTAACTTTGAACAGTCACAAAATACCTGTTGTAAGTTGAGGACTACCTGTATAGGTTCTCCTACTTGAACAGAAGACCTATAAGAAGACCTGATAACATCCAACTGATGTTATCCTGTATTCTGTGTGCTGTATCCTTTTAGCTGGAGTGAAATTAACTTTTCTTGCCATTTTTCCCCCACAAACTGCATATAGTAGTCACTACTTTGCCCTCCAAAGCTACTGTTTTCTATCCTACGGTTTAAAAAAAAGGGTTCCTGACCACTGCAGCAAGATATAACATCTGGTGTCACTATTATGGCTAAAAAAATTGAGTATGGCAAGTTTTGTTTAAAACAGAAACAATCAAAATCTAAGCACAGATCCCTCATTTAATTGGACACCTAATTTGTCTCTAATAAAGAGGTGGATCTCTTATCCCTAAGACTTATTTTTTTCAGTGTTTTTTGTTACTATAAAGTGCAATGGCTTCCTAAGAATATTTATCGGGAATATTTTTTTATTTATTTGTAAGGAACGCCAAGTAGATCGTTTACATCAGGGGTCTCCAACCGTGGCAACTTTAAGACTTGTGGACTTCAACTCCCAGAGTTCCTCAGCCAGCAAAGTCTTAAAGTTGCCAAGGTTGGAGACCCCTGATTTAAATGCCTGGGGCTTTTGCCATCTTAATTATGCTACTATTGCCATTTGGTTTAGGTAGTTCTAAGAACCAGGATGAAGAAAGACAAAACAAATAAAAATGTTGTACTTATTCATTTATGTATGCCTAGCAATGGCAAAATGTTTGCACCTCAGATTGGTTAACTTTCAGAATGCATTCAGAATCCAGGATCCATGACTCCCATGGAATAATATAAAATGTCACGAAACATTTTCTGTGATTAGCTCCTGATGTTTGACTGTACTATACAGTTCAACTTGGGCTACTTTGAAGGCAGATACATCTCTGAATATCTCCCTGAATTTTTGAAAATATTTCTAGTACATTATAAGTTCTGCCATTGTTGAAAGCTTTGAGGAATTTAGTAAGGAAATGTATCTGAAATATAACATGTCGTGTATTGTTTAGTTATTTTGTTATAAATATCACATATCATAGTAATTTCCCTCTTCTCTTTATCCAATAGGCATTGATGCCTTGATCTAGATCAGGGGTGTCAAACTCAAGGCCTGGGCCCCAAATCCGACCCACGGGGTGCTTAGATCTGGCCCACAAGGCTGCCCTGGAAATAGCAAAGGACTGGCCTGCGATGCTTCTGCCAGTGAAAATGGAGCTCACGAGAGCCACGTGCAGACTTCCCGAGCTCCATTTTCGCTTGCAGAAGGCCGTCCCAGCCGAAAACGGAGCTCAAGAGCCTGTTTTCACTGGCAGAGCACTCAGGCCACCATAGGCGCACCTGACACAAGTGACAAGCCACGCCCACCTTGGCCACGCCTTCCCCGGTCTCCCAAGGTCAAACACAACCCTGATGCAGCCCTCAACAATTTGAGTTTGACACCCCTGATCTAGATATTTCAGAAGGAGAACATTTTTCATAGTCTTCTAATTAACTGTAATTATTTTTATTTGTATTATTTTTACAGGTGACTGAGCTGGAGTGTGTGAGTAGTCAAGCAAATGCAGTCCAAACTCATAAAACAGAATTAAATCAGACAATACAAGAATTAGAAGCAACACTGAAGAAAAAGGAAGAGGTACTTTGTTATATTTATTGATTCATGAAGCTACTTTAGAAAATATTTCAAGAATATAATAAGATTAAATGTTTTAGGGTGGTGTGACTAGAATTAATAAATTATCAGAATAAAAGGTAAATTTCCACAAAGGTATGAACCACAGCAGTATGGAGCACATTCAGCCTGCATTACTTTTTCCTTGCCCAGTCCCATTTCCACCTAACAACAACTATGCTTTAGCAAAATAAAAAAACCATCTGAAGTGTTTTTAAGCTACAATATTCCTAAAGCCATTGCTTCACCCACAAACCTAAACAAACACACAAGCAAAGGTCCTTGCATCAGTTAGTTTTAAAAGGAATCCTTTGATATTAACAGAAGCTTCTTAAAATTATACAGATAATCATAGTTGGAAGGGACCTTGTAGGTCATCTAGTCCAACCCCCTGCCCAAGTGGGAGACCCTACACCATTTCTAACAAATGGCGGTCCAATCTCTTCTTGAAAGTCTGAAGTGATGGCGCTCCCACAACTTCCGAGGGAAAGCTGTTCCATTGGTTGATTGTTCTCACTGTCAGAAAGTTTCTCCTTATTTCCAGGTTAAATCTCTCCTTGTTCAGTTTCCATCCATTATTCCTTGTCTGCCTACAGGCGCTTTAGAAAGTAGCTTGACCCCTTCCTCCCTGTGGCAGCCCCTCAAATATTGGAAGACTGTTATGTCTTCCCTGGTCCTTCTCTTTTTGAATTATCTTGCAAGAGGGGCAATTTTAAGAGGGAATTCTTTTCTATTAGTTTTGTGAGCCATGCAACCCCCCACTCCCACCTCCCTAGTCTCTTTCATGTAGGCATTACACACTCTTGAATTTAAAGTATTGCAGGGAAGAGAAGGGGAAGGTGAAAAAAAGCATAGGTAAGGTAGATTTGGCTCCAACTCACCCAGAGCTGCAGATATCCCTTAATAGATTTCCGTAGAAATTTCTTATTCTATTGACTACGCTAGTGATGAACGTGATGCATGATTGGAGCATACACTGAATGAGGTATTAATTCTGTATGCAGTATCTGAGATTAAGCTCCTTTACAAGTCTACTCAAAAGTATATAGAAATGTATATCAGTAGTATATATATTACTATTATTGCTGTTCCTTATTTTTACTTTGTCAGTTAGGCTTTTCTCTGTGTTATTTTTTATATTGCTTTGTTTTTATAATATGGTTTTACTTTTTTTTAATAACACTTTTCAAACTGATTGCATAGTACACAGAGAATTTCTGCTATTAGCATAAAATACAGTATCCTTGAATTCATATTTAAAAATCAGAACATTTTTAGACATTTGTTTACAAGTAAAATTATGCCAAATAAATTAGTGTACTTTAATGAAGAAGAAAATGACCTAAGAGATATTTAGATTTTATAATACATATAGACTAGGGCTGTCATAACTCCTGGCCCATGGGCTGGATGCGTCACTCCCACTCCCATTTTAGCGAAGGGGGAAAAAGTCCCAATATTTCATGTGACGCCTCCATGACAACGTGAGTTTGACACCCCTGATATAGACAGTACTAGAGATATAGCTATAGATATAGTTTAACTTGTGTGTGTGTGTGTGTGTGTGTGTGTGTGTGTGTGAGAGAGAGAGAGAGAGAGAGAGAGAGAGAGAGAAAGAGCATTAACAAAATATTTTATTGCATAGAATAAAATGGCTAATTAGAAGACAGCCTACAGTACTATCATTATATGGACATTAAAAAAATAGACAATTGAATTTGCTCTGTTCTTGAATGGATTTCCATTCCTACAGCAAATTATTTCCCCTTGCTGTCCTCCTCTCTCTTCCCCTTTCTCTGGTGCATCTTTTAAATGTACTTTGTATAATCTAGTAACTTTCCAGAACAGTTTTGAGGTCATGCAACAAAATTCAAGGGAGAGGTTACTGTAATTCTTCTGGTAACTGCTATCCTATGAGAATTCTGGTGGATAAATAAAATAAGATACAACCCATTGGCTCATATAATATGCTAGACCCATGATGGTAAACCTATGGCACATGTGCCACAGGTGGCATGCAGAGCCATCTGTGCTGGCACATGAGTCGCAGGCAAACTTACCTCACTGTGCATGCGCGTGCCTCACAGCTGATTTTCGGCTTGTTTGAGGCCTTTTTCGCCTCCCAGAGGTTTGAGGAAAGCCACCCGAAAAATAGGCCTGTTTTGTCACTTCCTGTATTTCTGGAAATACTGGAAGTGATGAAACGAACCTATTTTTCGGGCTGCAGAGGCTTTCATCAAGACTTTGGAAGGCTGAAAAAGGCCTCAATGGGCCGAAAATCAGCTGGAAGATGCAGTGCAGTTAAGGGGGCGGTGGGGGGGATCGCACGTGCATGCACAAGGGGCGGGGGGGCACATTGCCTTCTGGATGCTGGCACAATGAGCGTGCACGCGCAAGCGCACACAATTTTTGGCACAGGAGCCCAATAAGATTAGCCACCACTATGCTAGACCTTAATTCAGATTGTCAAAACACTGTTGAGTTTATATAATGTAACAGAATAACAGAGTTGGAAGGGACCTTGGAGGTCTTCCAGTCCAAACTCTTGCTCAGTCAGGAAACTGTACATCATTTCAGACAAATATAATTCTTTACTGCACAAAACATAGTATGCTTTGGACTTCCAGCTTGTGGTGCTTCGGTGCAGGCAGGAATCCGTGACTGTGCATGGTCTCTGCCTGTGTTCACTGCCTGAGTGCCCCGAGCCATTTGGCTTCGGGGCTAAGCCACCTTTGTAGAAGGTGGTGAAGACTGGGGGGTTCTGGCAGGGACGAGAGACATCGCATCTCTCTTCCCTAGCTGGCTAAATCTCCCTCTCCGATGGCAGCTGAGCGGCGGTCTCTAATGGCCGCCACTTAGAAGAGCTAAGACGGGAAAAGAAAGTGCTGGAGGAGTTTGTGAAGAAATGAAAGTAATTTTGCTGACCGGGACAAAGGAACAGTGAAAGTATCCTGGTATTTAAAACATAGTATGCTTTAACACAATGGTCTGGCTCCTACAATATGATGAACTAGTAGAACCGTTCTCCAGATATGCCTAAATTATAAACTGCTAGTTCAGTATATTGTGTGACCCTGATTAGCGTGATGTTCAGATTATTGGTAATTATTGGAAAAGGGCATATGTATCTTTTTTTAAAAAAATTGCTTGAATGGAATGAAGCTTCAGGACTGAATTGGGTTCACACATAGAAGCAGAACAGCAGGAGCTTTTAGTATTGTTTGTTGGAAAATCTCTTAAACAAGTACAGCTTGCAGGCATGCCTGCGCATGTAATCCTAAACTGTTTGATCAGAGTGCTCTGTTGCTAAATGCTTGGCTTTTAGGTAATTCACAATGCCTTGCACTGCTCCCTTAGAACACATCTTTATTTCCAAATGCAGTAGAATCAATCTATTCTCCTTAGAACTATAGGGGAGTGCAGATTGTAACCCATGGCTTTTATATGCTAGTCTTCAATGCCTGAAAAGCTGCTTTATTAGGATTCAGGGTAGTCTCTCTTGAGACTGTGGTATCTGGAATGACCTCTATACTCTTGAGGATGTGCATTGGCAGGAAGTTCAAAGAAAAGCTTTGCTGCCTCTAGCAGAGCTTGCTCACTTCCCCAAAGAATAAATAATGGGATGGGATTGCCTTTTTATATCACTCCCGAGGTCTTGGCAGTGTATTATATTTTCTATAGCAGTAATTTACACTGTATGTTTCAAAGAGAGTTCAGGATAGAAGTAGCACTGAAATAAAATGTTTTCAGGGAAGTTTCTGCTAGCTACTTAGCTGGAAGGTTTTATTGCATCCCATTTAATTTTTTGTAACCTTTTAGTTTATATCTTAAGAAGTCTTTTTTGTCAATGTTCTAACTAGCTGGTAATCATTCATGCTGAACTCCCTAGTGATTATCATTCATTTTAAAATTTGCTGAACAATGCTGTGTTATGGAGAGACCTCTTTGCTAGGCATTCTGTAGAACACGAAATAAAACACCAGAAAAATTATTCTGCCATTCCTTTATACTAAGAATATGCCATGCCAGTCAGCTCAGGGGCTGCACTAGGTTTTGCATGCCAAATTAAGAATCACAATTCAAAAGTGGCTGGAGCCAGTATGTGAGATTTGATGAAACTTTGATTTTTTTAAAAAAAAGTTAAAGCAATTGCCATAAGCCATTTAGTTCATTAAAAGCTTTCCCAGCACAGAGATGTTTAAAACAAACAAACATTTTGAGCCTCTGCCTCTCTGGATTGTTCTGGAGATAGCTAGAAGGATTCTGGAGGCAATACAGTAATGGGCTGTAGTTTTTATGCCACTAATTTAGGCTTTTCTCTATCATTCAGAGTTGTATAATTTGGATTATAGTTGCTCAGTCAGTTTTTTTTTTACTTTTGTATCATTAAATTGATGTTGCTCTGCTTTCTAGTAACATGAAATTACTTCCTTGTTCTTGTAAAGGGCAAACTAATAACTTGAAGAATAGGAGGACGAGTTCCAACCAGGACAATGGTCAGATAAAAGAAATCTGAGTCTAGGGGAAAAATGCAATTTGAGAAAGCATCTCAGATGGCAGTTTCCTTAGTTTCCACAAAGATATAAGAAAGGAAGGGAAGCATATTGAGACTTGCAAGATTACATTACTTTTTACATATAATAAAAGCAGTATTAGCATTCAGGACTTTGGTTTTCTAATCTGGTCTACTATGGAAAGTTTATATTGTGTCTGTCATTGGCAAAATGCATTGAAGATTAATAATTGAATCTTACTACGGTAACTCATCCAGCAACACATTCATCTACTTGTGCAAGTTTTTCACCATTTTTATATAATTATTTTATAATGTACAATCATTTCACATATCAGCAAATCAACCTTGTTTTTTACTAAATTAATTTTTAGATCCATATTCTTTGAATCATACAATCTATCTAACATTGCAAATGTTACAAATCGCAAGTTGGGAAAGAGGGACAGAGAAATTTTAAGACATAAAATGATAGTGGAAAAATGAGTGTATGCAATCCAGAAAAGTGAAAGTGGGTATGTATGAGTACTCCTGTCTGCCTGTAATACGGTGGTGAGAGTAGAGTAAGTCAGGAGAAACATAAAAGTTAGATGAATGTAATAGGAAATGAGCAGATAATGAATGAATGTCTATTTAATATAATAAATTCTCATTTTTAAAGAGTATATTGCAACAGTATAATTATTTAGAAAATAAAAGTCAGGGATCTGTAAATAACTAACGTGGTTGGTTAGCCGGAAAGCTGACTTCAGCGTTCAATGTTTCAACAGCCAGTCTCTCTTTATCCAGCAATCAATATGGTTGAATTGTCCAAGGCTAAAGTTGGTATCTGTGTTTTCGTCAGTTTAGGTAATATGCTATTTTATTCTCTTTAGGAAATAGAAAAATTGAGAGAAGAAATTGACAATGCCAGAGAGCTTCAGGCGCAAAGAGACTCTTTAACTCAGAAATTACAAGTAAGTAACAGTGGTGGGAGATCTGTGCATGTCTAATTTATCTATATAGATCACCGATAGGTTACTAGATGACAAGTTTTAAAGCCCCATTCACCCATAAACAGCATCTTCATATTTTCAGTCTTGTACTACTAGAGCTGCAAGGTCATAACTGAGCCCATTCGTCCATTTGGATATCAAAAATTTCCACGTGAGACTGTTCCTCCTCTGTTCTCTTGCTTATTCAGCAAGTGTCTTGTCAAAATGGAACCTAACCTAATGTCTGTCAGACTTCATATCCAGACTCAGCAGTAAATCACAACAAACTCCCAGAGATGACTAATCTTTTATTGTAGACAAAAAAGATGCCCACTGCAATTTGAAGAAGTCAAGAGTGGTAAGTGAGAGGGCAGGCATGTCAGATATATAAAATCTGTGCTCCCGAGTTTAAACTCAAGGTTTTTTTTTACGTGTCCAAGTTAATGGATTTGGCCACTCTCTTGATGACTTGAGAATCAGCCAAACTATTTCCCTCTTACACTGGCAGCTTGAATTACTTGCTCTGTAGTAAGGAGAATGAGAGGATAAAGGCAGGTGATGACCAAGAGTATTTGTGAGCATATGGTGAAGAAAATGGAAGGGTTAAACCTAGGCATCATTTGATGCTGATAAGGAGATAACTTGTTCTTTTTGGTTTCAGCAGCTCCATGAAAGACAAAATGGCAAAATGGTTTTAATCCATGTTTCTCATAAGAACTAAAGAAGGCGTAGTATTCCTTGTGTGAAAAGTTTTGTGTAAGCGTTTAATAATAGCTGATCTGTTCAGAAGAAAGTAAAGAGATACTTATGCCAAACACACATTTATGAAGTCACCATATTATGCCTAATAATAACTCCATGAAATTGAACTTAACTTGAGGGAGATTGACCTTTCATTCATGCTGATTAAAAATTACATGCTTCAGTTTATGGTGAAATGCTGGTTCTATGACTCCAAAACTTGCTTTTTCATGGTAGACAACTCAAGATATTACAGGAAGCTAACATTAATTTTTACTCATAGCAATTATCCTGTATAATGATACTGTCATATGTTGGAATTTTGCTTGCAGATTCTAATATATTACATTCCTTAATGATTTGTAGATATAGATAGTTTACATCTCTTTGGCTAAAGCTAGATTTTGCGATTTATTCTCACAATTGATGTTTTGCAATTGCCCGGACAAGCCATTTATGTAATGAGTGAAGAATTTAAGCACAATTACAAATAACATGCATACTGCTTAGTCAGTTGTTGTAGTTGCTTATTTATTTGACATAAGTATCAAACAATGACAAAATTTATAGATGTGAGAAGAAAGGTTTTGCAGAACTATATTTGTTTTGAAAATCAGTTATGGGAATTGATTAAAATATATATTTGTTAACTTTTTAAAGAATAGGATACACTAAACCCTATTGAGGAAGCAGATCATACACATTTAGCATATATTGACTTTTAATTGTACCAGAAACACTGATAAAGATGGATCCGCTTCAATCCATGTTCTCTATGATATAACATCTCAGCAGATATGGGGATATGTGCCTTTCTTAGTATTAATGACACTATCCATTAACTATATACGGACTCCCTGACACTGATGTATGCACTAGGGTTCCCTTCACTTTTGTTGCTACCCAGTTTTGGTGGTAGTATAATTTGTCACCAAAGTTAAGTAGAAATCTTCATAAAAAATATTGTTAACCAGGATACTAAGTACTTAGAATTACATGATCTTCAGAATGGAATCAATTACAAAATTGAGTAGTTTGTATTTATGTATTTTGTATTTATGAATCAGATATGAATAATAAACAGTTCCAAACAGATATATACACACAATCTCCAGTTAAAAATCTTTTTTGGGTCACAAATGGTTTAGTTCTAGATCTCTTGGAAGTAACCAGATTGCCATTGCCAGAGGCAAAAGTATGTGCATAATTTATGTGCATAATTTATTATTTTATATTCTATATTCTGGCAATTGCCCATTCCTTTTTGACAAATGAAGGAGAATATACATGTCCCAGGATAATATTGCAGGATCCAGTCTGGGTTGGACATGGGGACCAGTCTTGCGAGCTTTCGGACTCGTGCTGAAGCCCATCTTCAGGGAACTTCTCTCTAGCAGAGTGTGTGCTTTGAGTAATACTCTGTGTGTGGTATTCTGTGTATTCTCTCTACTAGAGAGTTCCCTGAAAATGGGCTCCAGTAACAAAGCTAAGCATGGTTCTCAATCCCAAAACAGATGTGATACTTACTTGTAGACAGATAAGTACAATGTTATTATTATTATCCTGCAAGGAAAGTTCTATCCTGGGCTACACTGTAGCATGTCTTTTACAACATTTCTGTGTAACATTAAAAATAGAATTTAAACATCAGTATTTTATTTACTTTGCATATTACATTTTTTTAAGGAAGTGGAAGTTCGAAATAAAGATCTAGAAGGCCAACTATCCGATCTTGAACAGCGTTTGGAGAAAAGTCAGAATGAACAAGAAGTTTTTCGCAATAACTTGAAAACACTTTTAGAAATTCTTGATGGCAAAATTTTTGAACTTACAGAACTACGAGATAATCTGGCCAAGCTAATAGAATGCAGCTAAAGAACACAGGATCTCAGTGCCAAACTTCTTAAAGATGCACTGTCTCTCTTCATACAGGACTTTGTTGGGATCTGCATCAAAGTTGCACAAAATTAGTAAAATGCTCCTTCAGAAGGGCCTGTTTTAAATTTTCAACAATATACAATATACAGTATTTCAATGTAAAATTTCAGAGTTCAGCTTGTAGTTAGTTGAAAAAAAAAAAACAATAACTTGAAGTACAAATTACCTCCTTGTATATAATTGGCCATAGATAACTCGAGGGTATTAACAGTAATTGAATGCAATCCTTTTCTAATTATTAGCCAATGAAATAATAAGTGCTTCAAATGACATCCCTCTTAGTGTTCCACACAATGTAGGCGATCAGTTTTATTTTCTTTGTTTAAGGCAATTGTATGCTGTGTTTTGTGCAAGAACTTTGTGATGACAGCCCTCTCTTTTGTTGTAATCTGAATAATTTCTCAGGATATTTTGTACTGTTGAAAAAAACAGTGCATTACCAATTAATTCTTGCCAGGAGTGAGAGAGAGTTGCATCTTTAATTCAGACCTAATGAATTAATGCTTGTATAGAGTTCTTCCCTTTTTTTATACTGGAAGATACTGTCTTTATTTACAATGTTCACTCTGGTGTTCTATAATATTGTCTAGTGTATGGTTTACTTTTTTTCCTATTGGGAATTCATGTATGTAGAAATTATGTATTTCATTTTGTTATGCATTTTGAAGCCTATCTATGAAGACAAGCAAGTCCCTGAAAGGTATTTTAAATTTTGCTATGTTCTAATAAGGTTCAGTCTGAGCTTACTGAGTATCACATGGACTTAACTTTTCTTATCAAAATATGTTTTAAAATATGTTTTAGTAATTTATTTAGCAAGAATTCTGAAACTGGAAATATAGTTATTGCTAGGGCATTGACCTTGCTCAGGCAATTAAAGAAAAAAAAAAGCATTGTATTAGCATAGAATTTTTTTTCTGCTGTATGTTCATGAAACACCTTTATTGGGAATGTGTGCCAGGCTATGTTCTGAATTTCAAAACAAGACCTGAATTCAGTTATCCTCAGTGAACCCCTTTTTAAGTTATATTGATGTAATTTACAAAGATTTTTTTTGCCAAATATGTATTTCTTTATATACCGGTATATATTTTTTATTTTAAAGGAAAAAAGAAAAGCAAACTGAGGGTCAATCTATGTTTCATGAATGGGAATGAGCTAACCTTGCTGTAGATTGTCTAATATTGTAAAAGATTTTTAAAAATTTAACAAAAAAAAAATCAGACAACAATGCACTGACCTTTTTATTTACACCAAATTAATTTGGATGTTAAATATAAAATACAGCTTAAATATAAACTCTGTATTTTTTCCACTTAAGGACTGCTATTCAAAACTAGATAATATAAATTGGGTTTTTTATGTGTGTACTGTATGTATATACTGTATAATACAGGCACTCTAATTTGTATTTAAAATGGGATAAATATTTGGCTTAATTTATAAAATGACATTTTGTTTATCTGTAATTTAACAAGTGTCTCCTGAAATATCAGGATTACTGTTAAACACTAAATTATGATGTATTATACTATATGTACTGTACACATCATTTGTTTTGTCCATGTTTTAGAGTATTTTATCATTTATTTTATTTATTATTGGGAAAATATTTGTTCATTGCATTCATAGATAAAAGCTTTCTATGGTGATTTTTTAAAACTTAATAGCTAAGTGTTGATGATGTGTAACCTTATTGGTCAGGACAGTAGTGATTACCTGATTTTAATTTACCTGAAGAAGTTTGCGCCTCATTCTCTTGCTAGATGAGTGTCACTCAGAAACATCTTCAGCAAAGTATAAAATTGGTGTAATTTGGGATGAATGAAGTTCTTGCTCGGTATTCTTAATTATAGCAAGTTAGAGCAGAAATATGATGGCAAAAAATGTAATATTGTTTTTAATAAGATCAAAAATTTTAATACAAGGACATTTACATGTGGGAAAAAAGTTTACAAAGTAATTTCCACTTCAATGCTGTTTATATGTGTTGTACAAAACTTATTCGTATATGTACACACACATATGTATATACAGTATATAAAAAAAAATGTGCACATTTAGAATATTTTCCTATTGAAATTAAAAATAGTAATCAGAAATCAGTATTTGGGAAATTCTTTTCTCATGTATATTTAGATGCTTGACTTTGGGTTCTTTTGTTTGTAAAATAAAATCCAAGAGGGCTGAACCACTGAATCCCCAAAAGTCATCTAACATGTATATGGGATAAGGTAAATATAAGTGCACATATAAATTAATTATATTAAAAAATCTTTTACTGTTCATTTACATTAGATGGGTGTTAGAAATTATATGTTAACAATTACACTCAGTTTTTCTTAACGAAATGGCTCTCCTGCACTAGCATATATTCCAGAAAATACTTTTGATTGTCATAGACTAAGAAAAGCAAACAAGAATTTACATCAAAGAACAATCACATTGTGTATAACTTGTTATATGACAATTATGGAGTCTTGTTAAAAATTCTTTTAAAACCCAACAAAATACAGTTTTTATTTTGAAATACAATTGCTGTTCTGGAGAATGTACTTTATTATTTTTTCTTTCTCGAACTCTTTTTAAGAATTATAAACTGTTCATCAATGGCAGCATTTACCTTAATTCTTCAGGTGCTACTGGATTTTGAATTAGAGTGTCATGTTGTGAAATTATGACTTTGACATAAAAAGGTTTTATAAGTATATCCCTGTCTGGAAGTTGGTTATTGGGGCCTCATTCTCATAACTCTACTCCAGAATTTTCCAATAATTTCATTCTTCCATCTAGAATTTCTTGATCCCAGGCCACAAAATTCATCAAATGAAACTAATAGACACCAGTTTCATGAGTGAGCAAATTGGGCTTATTCAGAATCAAGTGGCTTTTGTTGCCTACTGACCATTTTAATCTAAGCAAGTTTGAAGCTAGACAAATAAAGCATCTGTTTGATTGGTCCTGTTTGCAAAACATTCAGATGTAAACTATAGCAAATAATGATCAATAATATGATGATACCTTTGGGAAGTCAGTGCCAATGCATGAATAGAAGACCTCATTTCACTTACAAAAGAGACTGCAATCCAGGAGATCCCAACCAATCATCTCCTGTACTAGAGCAATTTTTTTTAGGGAAGAAGGGCACAACAAAAAGCTGCTTTCGCAACAAATGGAGATTCTTTCCCTAAAAAAAAGGTTCCATTTTTAAAATTGTTTTATTTTTAAAACTGCTACACAAAGCAAATAAAAAAATATTTAAATGTGGGTACTTCCACATATCACAAGAGCTGTTTGCATAATCGGCTAGTGTTTCCCCGAAAATATGACCTACCCTGAAAGTAAGCACTAGCTTTTTACATGTGCATCCAATATAAGCCCCCCCCCCCCCCCCCCCAAAAAAATAGGCCCTAGTTAAGACCCCGCTCACTCTGGGATGCATGGGGTGGAACAAGGCACATGGATAAAAATTAAGCTTAGAGTGGGGATGTGGGGGTTGGAACTGCCCTACTTACATACCCTTACACTTGCCTTTCTGGCCCACTTTTGCAGCTGCTTGCCACCGCTTGCGTGTTGTCACTCCAACCTCCCTGTCACAGGCCTTTAGGAAAGGCCTCTGCAGCCCAGAAATAGGCTCCGGCTTGATGCTCATGGTGCCCCCTGGTCTCATTTCACAATCGGAGGCCTTACGGAAAAATCTCTGAAGCCTATAGCAGATCAATCCAGAGCTGATGGCAAAATGGAGGCTGGAGGCGACACATGTCAATCCAGATCTTGTTTTTCGGCTGCAGAGGTCTTTCCGGAAGGCTCTGATGGCAGAACAGAGGTCCGGGGGTGACACGCTCAAGTCACAAGTGGACACGGAACTGGGCCAGCAGCACGCTCCTGCTGGACGGGGCTGTTGGTGCCGCCACCGCTAGATGAGTCAGTGGAAGTTCTCCTCACCCCCCAAAATAAGACCTGGTGCCTTTTTGGTGACAATATATATAATATCGGATCTTATTTTTGAGGGAAACATGGGTAGTAGGATTATAGATCACTGACCATTTTGCAAGGCCAAGAACATACCATTGTGTCCTCTTATTTGCCATCAGCCCACAAAAAATCCCCCTTCTACCCATCATCTGCTCTATCAGAAGTTTTCTAAATAGGGCCACCTAAGTGATGCTGCCTAGTTCACCTATTGTACTTCATTCCATAGTAGGCAAATTGCTCCAAACCAACTGGTTACAGGTGCTATGACAGGAATTGTCCAGTCACTGGCTTTCCCAGCCATTTTTCCCCTCACTGGTGAAATAATGGGCTCTCTCTTGTTTCTTACCAGATGAAATTAAAATTAATTCTGTCACTTCCCTTTATTGGCTATAGAGACAGGAAAAACGGTAGAAGTGTGGTGTTCGTGGTTTTCATGGGATTGGGAGGGATAAAGAAACAGAATTTATTAATCAAGATCTATGATAAATGTAAACAAAATCCAAAGAACAGGCTGTCACTGGGACCAAACTGGAAGAATTGAATCTAAAAAGTTATTTCTTAAGCTGATTTCATTTCCTCTGAGTTTATGTACAGAAGCCAAGAATTTTAAGTCTGAACTGTGGGAAAAGTTCCTACCTGTTACTTAATTTGATAGATTTTAGTTAAACATTACATAAACTTGCAACAGATTTGGAGCTGCAAAGGGATATTGGAACATATGAAGAATTATGATGGTGGAGATGTTAGAATGGAGAATTAATTGCAAACAAACGCTGCTTACAGCCAAGAATTCGATCCTGATCAGCTGAAGGTTGATTCATTCTAGATAAAATGAGAATCCAGATTGTTGAGGGAAATATGCTGACACTGTAAATTGCTCAGAGTGCTGTAAAAGATTATGGAGCGGTATATAAGTCTAAGTGCTATTGCTAATTACTCCTCCCACCCCAGCAATGTTATAACATCTACCCATGACAGAAACTGTATTCAAATAAATATATTTTATTTAAGGAAATGAAAGAGCAACTTTTAAGCACCAAAACTTGAAGTATATTGTTACATTGCATGTTTAAGAGACAGTCATTCAGGACTTTTGGTACAGGTTTGAATTTTGAAGCCATGACAGTAGAAAACATGAAGTACAAAGCAATACAACAAAATTACTGGAAGACTACACTAAAGAAAAATAAGCAAAAATAGATTAAACTTTAAAATTTCAAAATATTGCTAAGAATGCTCAATTGGTTTATGTATCTTTTTTAATACTTTAGAACACTGAGCATTATAAAGGTATTGCAAAGGTTTGCAGGAGTATGCTTTTTTAGAAATGTCCATTAATAGTGTCCATTAAATACAGCTGTGTTAAGTACTGCAGAAAAATTATTTAAATTTTACTCTGACTAAATCAATTAATAGTAATTTTTATTTTAGCTTAAAAATGAAATGTACTATGAAGATTTTCTAGTACTTACCTATGCAATTTTGTTGGCAGTCTTTTGCATTTCAGTAAAATATTAACACAGCTGTGATATTGGCAACTCAAAACAATAACTGATAATTAAATAGAAAAACACAAATATAAGAAGCAAGTAAAATGTGTTATTGGGAAACCCATCCTGACATCACTGGTATTTTTAATTAGGGATAATCAAAGGCTATAGATGACATTAGATAAGGAATAAATTCCACATACTCACTTTAACAACCATTCACTCATCTGTTATTTGACTAGAAAGGGAAAAAAGCATTCAGAAATCTGTACGACTTCCCCTGCAAGAAATTATAATAGGAGGATAATTTAAATCAGGAAAATAGAATGATAGTATAGGGAGAAATATCAGATAATTATCGGGAGATCCTTGTGGCTATTTTTACCTTTTTTTAAAAAAAATGAAAGACTCAATCCTTGTTCTCAAAATACCATGTTTTGATTTACTTTCAAGAACCCACATGATGCATGATATCTGGAAGTTAAGTCATGGCAAATGTACTTTTCATTGTTTGTCTGAAAAATGTCCCTGCTTATTGAAGTAGCCTCTTTAAACTGAACAAGTTGGGATCCACCAAACAGAAAGATTTAAGAGCAAGGTCTCTTAACAATTCTCTGCCTACTAACCTAACCACCTATTCAAAAATGAAACCACCCCGGAAAACATATGAGGTTCACATAACAAACATGCTCAGACTAAATAAACTACTTGGATAAGCAGCAAAACATTTCAAACAAAAAAAGAAAAGTTCAGCTCCCATGACTCAACTTCCATACAACTCTACCAGGATGACGGAGAATCTATTATGTATAATGGTAATTCCTAAAGCATGACTATAGGCAAACAAGATTTGATTATTCTTTCTGTAAAGTTTTTGCAAAATTCTAGAGTTTTTTGGGGGAGGGGGGGCAGAAACCACACCCAAACTAGCATCTCAGGATCAAATACTTTATCTTAGCTGCCTCTCTAATTTACTATCATTTTACTTATATTGAAAGCATGGCACTCACACATATAAGCTAAAATAGATTAGCTGGGACTGATGTTGGGGAAAAGTATTTGTGCATGCTTGACTCAGTGTGGAAAATGATAACTAAGGTAGATACCTTTACCAACAAAGGAAGGAAATGAGAGACAAATTAGAATGGGGAAATAATCTGCTTCTAAAGTGATACGAGAGGCAATGTATAAATTTCACAGAATAAAATCATAGGTATTAAATTTTGCAGTTGATATGACAAATAAATGAATGAGCAATACGCAATCAACATAAAACTGCTTGTCTCACTACCATAGTTTTACAGTAGAAAATAAACAATATAAGGACACATTCATAAAAGGGACTGCCTTCATGATTCTGAACTCACATGAAAGTCTGCATCAATATAGCACAATTAAGTACTAGATTTCATTGTCATGCTCCCCTTTGGGTTATACAGTCCCCAAATGACAGCAGGGATATAAAAAGGGCTACAACAATAAACGAGTCAGAAATTCCAAATTTAGGAAGTGCATATTTTCTCTTTAAAAAGATAGCATATATTTTCTGAAACTACTAAATTGTTCAAAGAGCCTGTTCATTCAATTACAATGCTGTAATTCATATGCATTGTATTCAAGACAAGATCAGGCTACCTCTTTAACAGAGATTAGATTAGGATATTTTAAATGAATTTAGTATCTAATCACTGTTTCTATCTGTTGGCAAAATGAAAGAAGGTATAGAAATGGATATTTGGGGCAGTGACCAAATGGCTTATCAGAGACTGCTAAATTCACAAATAACAATTTAATGTTAATTTTTTAAAAAATAAAATGTATGTCTAGAGTAAATTTGGTGGCTTTTGGGTGTTCTTATTGGAAGATGACCTCAGTTGACAGCACAAGAAATAGTGTTTTCTGATGTTTTACCTTATAAAAAACCCAAGTCTAGTTTTAGTGTTTATCCTGTCAAAATGGGAAGATATTATAATACAAACTTTGAGCAATTGCGGCCAATATCCTGAAATTGCTCTAGGTCAAATAAACTGTCCAATAGGTTATCAAATGAATTATAGATAATAAGAAATCTCCTTGCAGAAATGTCATACTCATTTAATATAGCAAATTATATACTGAATTGCAAGCTAGTGCACTATGATCAAACTAGACCTTGGCACATTATTTCTTAAAAAAAACATGGTGGAAGTATTGCAGGTTCACTGCCAGTTACAACAACGTAGTTGTCCGATGATGACTGCCCTTGTTGAGTCCCAGTATGAAGCAAACAGGCCAAACTCAAATTTATTTCCTCTCTTTGATTCAAGAAGGTATAACCAGTTTGCCACTAAGTCTATTTCCTTTACACTTGGAAAGTGCATCGTTTACCTTAGGTACAAGAGCATGGTAAAGAATTTCCTGAAATAGGCCTTTGGCCTTTTTCTTCTAATCAGTATGTGAAAA